GCTTTTCTCAGAAACCTGTGGCATTGCCTCCTTGTCATATTTGATAGATGACCTGAACATGTCAAACTAATGTAACTGATAAATCTTAATGTAAATGTAGCTAAGGATAGTCACATACCTGAAAGAATAAAAATGTCACTGGGATGTGGTAAGTATGTTAAATTTAAATGAGAAGTCATTACAACAATTAAAGAATCCCGAATCAATCTGGAAGATGCTGCTTTCTCGTAGAATGCAGTTGTTTTGAAACTGGATACCCAGTTTGAAACTGAATTGAATACCTGTGGACTTTTTTCAGATTCTGGATTTTGAATAGAATTTTGTAAGATGCTGCTTTACTTGTGATAGGAAACACAGTTTCCAAATTACCCCTTCATAGTTTGGGATTCCCAAAATCTTCATACTGAAGGAGAATTTTTGGATGCTTCTTTTTTAAAGTTACTCTGTAATTTTTAGGGGACATATGTACTTCTGCCTTCTCTGGATTCTTTGCTCTAGGAAAACAAACAAACAAACAAACAGAATGTGTAAGTTTCCTCTGAAATTAATTTTCTTTGCTTTCTATAGAGATAGAAATAATACGAAGGAATCGCTCAGGTATAGTGAGAAACAAATACCTGTTTCCTCAGTTGTACATAACAATCAAGCTGGAGTTACCATTTGCTATGACCTGTACATCTAGGTGTCCCTCTGTTGGAAAGGACTCTGCACAAAAAACTCCATATTGCTTACTCCTTTTTGATATTACAGAAGTTTTTTTTAAAAAAAAAAAAACAAACAACCCCCCACATTCACTACTTTTATGAGCTCCAGACCATTAACAGGTCAGAACTTCTCTCTGAAAGGCTCCCCGCAGTGTTTGCCTTGGGGACTCCAAGGGCTCCATCAGCTCCTGAAACGCTCCCGCAGCCGCTGGGTAGTCAGTGGCTTCTCCATTTTGAAATGGTCATCCAAACGTGAACTCCAAAAATGGATACTGTGTCTTTTCACTTAAATACTTGGCTTTCCTTCTACCAAATCAGAAAGAGGCCATTTATTTCTTATGTGGTCATCCCAAATCTCCATTGCTGCTTTTTGTACCTACTAAGAAGTTTTCTTCCACATACAATTGACAGCTGGGTGTCATAAAACCTTAAACTTCGATCATTCAGATAAACAACTTGTTTGTGTTTTTATTAATAGTTACCCCATATCTATATCTAGTTTAAAAAAAAAAAAAGTTGCAACTGTTTTTTCCATCTTGGTAAATGTATTTCTTCAGGTTTAATAGACACTGCTGGGCTATGTATCCGATTAGGAACTTCGGTTTTCATTACACTCAGTAAAACCGCCGCCTTTTACTCAGTACTTATGCCATTAGCTACTAAATGCCATTAGTTTCTTCATGTATCTGCTGATATATCAAACAAGTCAGTCTTCCTCAAACCACTAGACATTTAAAATCCTTTAAAAGTTTTTCTTCTCAACAAGTGCTTCTCCAAACCCTGGTCACTGATGGCTCCTGTTTCAGTAGACCTCTGAAGTTTGGGGATTTTTAATGAATTCCTGGGTTACGATGCCAAGATATAAGCTAGAATATCTTTTACTCCTTACAGGAGGCAGCCATCTAGACATAGTGGAGGTCAGACAGTTGTTTTTACTGTATGCTGTACATAAGGCCTCCTTAGACATGCAATTCATCAGGTAGCTATAGGAGGAAGGGTGGAGAGAGGGTACAGTGGAGGATACCAGCTGCCGAGTGTGGCTGGATTCAGCTTTGTACCCCACCACTCTGCCGGGGTCCTGATGCCTTCTGACATGCAAATGAAGACGTGAGAGTGACTAAAGGACTCTTTGTTTTGTTAATTATAGGAGAAAAAATGAGCCCAGGCACGTAATTTGCTAATTTATTGATGCACAGTATTCAATGCTTGATCCTAAACCCACTTTGTCGTACTTTTAAACCTATGGTTAACACGTAAAAAAAAGTTATGTGGAAGTCTGGAAATTTATTGTTTAGGTTACACATATGAAAATCAGAAACAAAAGCAAGCACTTTCTCATGTGAAAGTTGAATGATTTTTAAAGACAAATAAGAATAGATCAGTGTTTTTGCTAGAAAACAGGCTCTCTTATTTTGTCAGTTGATACTTTTTTAGGAAGAATTTTTCCTTCTGCTAAATTCTGAGTTGATTAATGTGATATTGTATGTGAGAACGTGCTTACCTTTCCTGCAGTTGAAAAAACAGTATGGGGAGAAATACAAAGTAGCAAAGAGGTGAAGAAACCTATTTTTCTCCTATTTTTAGGAGATTGCATGTTTAAAGTGGAACATGCCTCCCATTTGGGGGTGCGTGGAGCTGGAAGTCAGCCATATAACTATTGTTGTAGACCTTGTCATGCCTCCTCATTTTGGAAAGGTAGTTATTTGACCAAATAAATTTTTTCCATCAGATATTCTTGGGAGGACCCACCTCCTTTCTTCAAGTCTGTGCAGGAAGCGGTATAATCAGGAAAGGCGCTGAGAGAGAGGGGGTAGGAGAAATGTGACAGGGAAAAGAAAATAGGAGTAGACAGAATAGAAACTCCCATGTTTCAGACTGTGATTTTGCTGATTCAGTGTTGACGGCCAGCTGCTCTCAGCATTGTTCTGGGTATCTGGTGATTAAGGTTCAGTGATGGAGAAAAAAAATCTGTTCAGTTAAGACAGCCTTTTGCTAAGGAATTACGAAATAGAATTTAGTCCACTTCTTAAGGCTCTATGCCCTTCCTTTAAGAGCTCTAGAAAGAAATGCTGGTGGGTGTATTGAAATATTCTTTCTTATTTTCATCCACTACTTAGTCCCAAATCCAGCTCCAGTAGTAATTTCCACCCATACTTTGTTTAGAAGTGTGGAACATACCTCAGTCCCTGCGTTCCATTAAATGTCTTTGTTTGAACTGGATTAATCTTTCTGTCTTGTTTTTGCTTGGAGACTTGTTGTTACGAGTTAATATTACATTTTAATCTAATTCCCATACTGGAATTCAGCGTCAGCATAGGTTTGTAGGGCTCCGATTAATACTAGAGAGTGCATCCAAAACTGGGCAGCTGGATTTGGGCTGCTGGTGCCCAAGTCATTCATACAGCTTATTTGCACAGTCCTTTCCTCCCAAACAGGCCAAGGGAGGGCTGCAGAGCAGGTTACTTGCCTTTGAGGATCAGATGCAGCCTGCTGGCTTTCAGTTGTGCGCTTCCACGTCAAGATTATTCAAAACGCATTTTGGGAAGGTGTGTGAGAATTGGCTATATGGCCAGGAATTCAAATAAAAGCTGTGGGAGACTGGCAGCACTTGCGTGATTTTCTTGTATCCTCATTACAACTTTGGACGCGTCCTGATCGAGTTACAGCAGAACCCACATCAAATTGACTCAATGACACAAACTCAATTCAGTTACTATCCATTTCTTCCCCTATCACACTTCTGTCTTTGAACACAATTCCAGGGGAAAAAAAGTCAGATGCTGCAAAATAGACACATGTGCTATATTGGCCTCACCCACGTAACATATCTGTATCTCTTTCTGAAAATGTTGCAGTGCGTTGTAAAAAATAAAAATTGCTTTCTTGGCTTTTCCACTTCCCAATTAATTTCTCTTCTTAAGTAATCCTGGCAGTCTTAGTCTTCTCAAAACACAATACAATTTATTTTCTGTGAAGTAATTTTCATGAAAATTATGAGATTCCATTTTTAAATTAAAAAGCAGGAGCTTGCCAGTATCTGTTGGTTGAGTTTCTGTAACTGAAATATCTAAGAAAACATACAAGATATTCTAGTTATTATCCTGACATTTTGTATAATGCAACAATGAAAACTCTTCAGTTGTCATTCAGCTATTCCAATGATATAGAAATGTGTGAAGTAACCCAAACAGCTGTAAAAGAAAACAAGGTCTTCAAGGTTATCAAAACTGAAATCCTTTTATTTATTATTTTAAAACAGATGAATTTATCATGAAATTTAAAGATTCTCTATTTTATAATGAGGAAAAACACATTGTTCAAATAATGTCAAGGTTTAGTGCCAAAACAATTGAAGCTAGCAAATGTGAGATAAAGCCAACACTCTCTTCTTTTCTCACAATGGTATTAAAAAAAGAAAAAGCTGAAGCACATCGTGGAACAGGGAGAAGCAACAGTCAAAACATGGTAAGCAAAGTGGAGTAATATTCAGAAAAAAATGGAGCAATAAGTAAAAAATTGCAAAATCAATTTGATCTTTTAAAAAATTTGTTCACTGAGTTTCTTGGGGAAAAAATCAGAGGAGTTTTAAGCTTTGGATTAGTAGCTTTAAATGGGAAGGCTGATGATCCCATTAGCTCTGGGTGCTCTAAAAAGAAGGAAGAAAAGAAAAGCCTATGCTGAATACTTCATTGTGTATGGGATCATTAAAAAGTAGAGATAAAAAGAAGAGTCAGTGAAGGAGAAAAGAAGCCATGGGAGATGAGGCTAATTCCAATTTTATGTATTAAAATACCTTTCACTAAAGGTAAAAAGGAGGGGCCTGATGCTGCCCTATGGTACACAATACTCTCCAATATGCATTTTGTAAATGTAGGTACTTCACTGGAAATTTCCTTCCTGCATGATATGTGAAGATGTGCAATTATAGGAGATCAACCATGAACATTCATACTGGAGCAAAACCTTCTGAAATGCATGTATATTCATGTATATCTCACACGAGACGTCAAAACCTGCATTTCATACCTGACTCCTCTTATGGCTAAAATACTATAAAATTAATTATTTAAATATTCTGGTAGAGGCCTCAGTTTCTGACAGTGACTTCTCACTTGTGTGGTTAGTAGATGTCTATGTCCTGTTCTAGTCCTGGACGATATGCTATCATAAAGCCCTTGCAGAGGCCCAAATTAAATTTTCAGTCATAGTTACTTAGTTTGATTATTCAGTCAGTGTGAGTTCACTTCAGTCACTGGACAAAGAATCCATGTTCCTTTCGAAGTACACACGGCTTATCTACAGTTCAACTTTCTGACATGGACAGGACTTGGTTGGATATGACAGGCTGCGGTCAATGGGTTTGATCATCATCCATGCAAACTTGCATATGCGTTGCTTGTTGCAGTCCCTTTGCCAGTATATCATGTTCCTTCGGTTTAGATTTGCTCCAGCACACGCGTCGTACCACCAGCCTCCCCCGGGAATGCCATTGTGTTCCAATTTAGCACAATTCTGAAAGTAATTGTCATTGTCTCTGTCCTTGGTGGTGAACTTCTGGTTGTCATGGAGATAGGCTTCTGTGTCCAGGGTCAGAGCATCAGTGGCATTGCCTTTGTATAGACCAACCCTGATTCGGTATTGAGACTCTTCATCTTCAATAAGGAATGGTTCGTACTGTCCCCATTTGATTTCAGCATTTAGGTTTACAAGTTTAACTCCAAGTATATATTGCATGGAGCTGCTAGTTAACTGATGCATATATTCATTTCCTAACCAGTGGTTGTCATGAACGGAGCCAAATCCGTATTTGTAATCCTGCCAGGTCCTATCAAAGTCAACAGTACTATTGGCTGTAATGTGCTGGATTACTGTCCAGCCACCATCCTGCATGTTACAAGAGACAACAATTGGGTCCTCCTTTGGTTGGATGATGTAAAGACCATCTCTGGAATTTCCTTTGGAGCGCTGAAAAATCTCAAAACAATCCCTTGGATAGTCTGAGTAGGAAAGAAAAAAGTTTTAAAGTAAATTTCTGTTCAAATAGTAAATTTTAGATATTGAACGCTGTCCTTTAGAGTGGGTGAATGATTGCCTTCTGACTGGAAGCTGACTCTGACTTCATCCCAGCTGGTGGGCACCTACTCAGCTAAAGGGGGAAGATTTCAGGGCAGACCATGCAGGAGATGTTCAGAAATTCAAAAAAGGGTTGTTACCCTGTCATATAATTTTTACATTTATGACAGAAATATGGTTGAAAAGCCAAAACTTATAAATGTCTGAGGATTTTCTTAGGAACAGGTCTTGTCACTCAAACTCCAGGCTAAATCTTACCACTGATTTGCAGGTAGAAGTACAGTGCTGTGCAGTGCTGAACACCAATATCAGGAAAATAGGTGAAAGTGCTTTTCCACTTTATTGCTTATCCAGTAGACTCAGAAGGTGGTAAAAATGGCATATAAGGCTTGGGATGACCCTCTCTATTGGGCTGAAATATACATACTGTGTTTTTTAAATGTAACTTGCTTATAAAGTAACTTCTTGCTATAGTATAGTATCAAGCATCTCTGAGACTAAGGCACAATGCTTTGCTTTGTAGAGACGGATGTTATTCAATGTCTTTTCCATTACACAGAAACATGTTTATGAACTGAAATCACTCACTTCTCCATAGAGTTGAAAGGCATGTCATTATGTCATTATACTATGGAATATTTGTAATTTATATTTAATAAAAATTTGACAATTTTAATATCTCTATGAGAAAAATTCCTACAGACCGCCTGTGATGTAAAATGACAGTTCTTCAGACCTGTGAAATCCTATGTTATATCCTGACAATGACTGATAGCAATTTAGATACTGTATTTAGAACTTAATTTTTTCTTCTGGGAAACGGGGATAATTCAGGAAAAGTACGGCAAGATGTCCTAATTTTTTTTCCAAAATTTCCCAAAAAACAATTACGGAAAAATATTTCCAAAGATAAAAATTTAAAATAAAAGCTCAGGAAAAAACTCCTCTTTGCCCAAATCACTGACCAGAGAGCCCCTGCTGATCCTTTCATTGAACACGTTGTTTTTCTTTTCCTGAACAGAAGAACAGAGTCTGAAAAGAGTCAATCTCATTGTATGGTCTCGTGACCAACAGATCAAAAGTACACCGAACAGTTTGGTTAGTGTAAAAAAAAAAAAAAAAAAAAAAAAAAAGCAAGCCCCTAACTTTCTGGAAGGAGAAAGGGACCATGAGTGACTATTTTATCTACTACTGGTCCTGTAGGGAATTATACCATGCGGTCGTCTTCACAGAATTATTAAATTTCTTCTCTTCCAACTGGAAAGCATTGTAGACTTCAATAACTGTCACTAGTCTGTTAGAAATTCTCCTCTGGTTCCCAATCTAATCTTATTAATGTCCACTGTCCATCTTTTTCTTTCTCGTGTCATGATGTCCTTTAGTTAAATAGTGCTTCTTCCTGGGTAATAAGCCCCGAAGTACCATGAGAACAACTATATTTTTAATCAGCCTTTGTTTTGTTAGGGTAAATTCTGTTAGGATAAATAAGTTCTTTTATTATTTACTGTATGATACATCTTCTGTTCCTTAATTGCCTTAGTAGCTTTTCTGCACCTCTTCATGGCAAACTAATCTTACAGAATGTGGGTAAAATTTGCACACAGTATTGCAGATGGCCTTACATAGTGCCACTGATTCTTCCCAAGTCTTATTAAAAACATCTCTGTTGATATATTCTAGGACTGCATTTGTATGGCTTAGTTTCCTTTAATCCAGAGTTTTGTCTTTGGGTCTTTGTAACTGGTAAGGTCCTCACCTTGCAGTAAAACCTAGAATTTTGCACTTTATTTTTCATCCCAATGGTATTACTTAAGAACATCTAAATTTTTTTTCTGTGTAATATTCTGATTCTTTGTATTGGTGTTTGTCTACTTCATGTTATCATTAAATTTTATCAGCATATTCCTATTTTTGCATTAGTATACGTAAAAAGAATACTGAAAAGATCACTTATAAGCAAATACTCCCCAGCCTCCCCTTGACTTTATGGTTTACTTTTCTGCCCAAGTCATTGTAATTTTCTTTTCAATCTCTGCTGAAATTATAATGTAACCCTACCTTCTCTGATTTAATATTGTATGAAGTATTGTATCATAGGCTTTGTAGAAGCCCAGATGGACTAAACCTGTTAAATAGTATTATTCATAGTATCAGTATTGTGTTAAATATAATTTTTGATATTTGATATTCCGAAGTTTATTGGTACTTCTAAGCCACTCAGGACAGATTTACAAGAGTATATAGGCTTTCCGAGGTCTTACTTTTATGCCTTTCATTGCCTAATAGAATCTACAGCCATGAATAGAATACTTTAAAACTCAATACTATCTGCATGACATTATTAAGAATCCTGAAAGAGCAGAACTGTGTACATGACTCTGTACCCCAGTTGTTGGAACATTCGCTTGGTAGACATAGACTCCCAACCTGATCCCATGATTTTATAGAATGATTATTTAAGTGACTGATATAGTGATGTCCAAGCCAGCGATATATACAGAGACACTTGTATTTGCCCTTCTCAGTGAATATTATTCGTGCAAAATAGAACAACTTCTATAGACAGATAATGAGAAAATCATTTAGGTTGATTGTTACAGGATTCACTTGGAAAGTGAATTTTATAAACCCTCAAGTGCCATCAGTCAGAAGGGGAAAATGAATCAATCCCACTACTCTTTTTGTGTACATTTTATGTGGGATCTACTCTGGTAAATTTATTAGAAAACCTACCAAGCTGGTCCTTGCAAGCTAGATAGGCAGAGGGATGCCTCAGTTATAGGTACCAATGGGAATTAGGTACTGAGGTGTCAGATATAAGCTAGATACGATTGTCCTCAGAATAAGTCTTCAAATGCCACAAAATATTTTTTTACAAAAAAACTGTTAATTTCTCTTGAATTAGATGACAGCTGAGCAAGGGTTTTAAAGATTCTGGACTTCAGGGCAGGACATGTTTATATTGCAAAGTATTTTTGCAGGGCTAACTTTCAAGTACGTTGGCTGAGAATGTTACAGCAAAGCAATGAGGTAAACCACAGCATGCATCCAAATCACTCACTCTCTTCGTGAGTACCTTTTTCATTGGCGTTACCCAGTCTCTCATAGCCTCTTTGGGGGAGAAGGTGCGCATTAGCCAAGACCACTGCCTCTTTGGTGCTCACTGACACAGTGCAATGAGAGAGCAAGAACAGAATAAATTCCACTGAGCTCGTCAACAGCATCTTCTTTCCGAGTCAGTCCTCTTGCAGCAATACAGAACTTCAACATAGACTGGAATTGAAAATGAAAAGATTTATGACTTTTAGTATGAAAGTCCTGAAGGATAAAGGTATTGAAATACCTAGCTTCAACATAGTGAGCCTTTGCAAAAATTGGCTTCTCCCATCTTTCAAGGACCTCTCCTTTTCCTGATGTCTCACACCCTGTTTCAGACTGGTCATTGCTCTGACACGGAGCACTGTGCTGCGACACTTAGAACGTCTCTCACCTCTGTCACCTTGTGCCATGCTGGGCAATGAAACATAATGTAATTTTGTGTGTGACAAAAAGCACAAGAAAGTAATGTAATAACAAAAGAAAAAGCACATCTTAGATTTATCGGAAGTTAATTTTGCTTATTCAGCCTCTTCAAAACCCATAAGGGTTCAATATATTGAATCAAAACAGTTTTGAGCCTCATTTTTTCCTCCTTTTGGGGTTACACCTCTAGTAACCCTCCATCCAACATAGCAAGAAGGCTTAGGCTATTACTGGACTAAATCCTGGCATCCTCACTTAGGCAAATGCCAGCTTGACTGAAGAGGAATTTCTATATCAATGACAGCTTAGACTGAATTATAACGAAAGTTTCCCATACTCTCAAAGAACACTTTTACTTAGACTCTAGCCAAAGTCTTTTAATTTTTTTTTTCTTTTTTTTAAGGACTGAGCTCCCCACAGTGGCTTTGATGAAGGCAGAAAATAGATCTAGCAAGCAGCTCTTCAGTCAGAGCTTATTTCCTGCCAGCGTCAGCACAGAGTCTACAGAGGCCAGTACCCTTCTCCATAGTGGTTTATGTTGCAACAGAGCCACATTCCTTATAAATCTAATGACTTAGCAGCAGATTCAGCAAACAGTTTTCCAGAGTGAAAAAATATTCAGCACATTTTTTAAAAAATGTCCAAGATAAATCATTGTAATAAAGTTCAGGTTTGAGAGTTAATTTTTATACCTACCACATATAAAACCAGCAAAACAGAATTTTCTACTCTACCTAAAACTATTCAGTAATAATTCTGATTTACTATTAACATACAATTTGCTATTTTATGCAAAGCTGGTCATTTGACATTGCGATCGTAATAAACTGGAAAATTACCTTCCGTGAAATTCAGCACAGGGTTTCCCTTAAAGCATTTAAGTTCTGCTGTGCCTGCCTTTCCCACTGTCATGTGTCCTTTTCCCTGAAAGCTTCTATTATTGTTGCTATTATTAATTATTATATTATAAATGACTTAAAATCAAAACCTAACCCTCAAGCATCACTAAACTTCAGGAAATTTGTACTTGGATCTGGATTTATTTTTTTTAGCTGTTTTATTTTTCTTTAGCATTTTTGAGTGAATCAGTCTTTTTTCTTCCCTCATATTTACACATTGAAATGATTTACAGATCCATTTAATTCCAGAATAGAACTTGGTATTATAAATTATTAAGAAAACAACTGAGGAAAACAGCACTAGGCAGGCACCTTACCTCTTTCAAGTGAAGCTTGGCAAAGAAAAACACACACAAATGAATGAGCTCATTCTCTACAGTTGTACTTTGCCTGCTACTTAAGTCCAGGTGAATAAATCAGCTCCAACACGCTATCTCAAATGCAGCAAAATTGCATCTTCATTATTTCACACTGTGTACTTACTCTGGTGGACTTTGCTCTGACATATTACACTTGCAAGTAAGTATATATTACTTAGTATTACAAATTACAAAGTACAAAGTTCTTCCATAAGGATTAAAACAACATAGTAACTAAATTAAATTTCCTTGATTAATAAATAGACACAGTGATGGAGAACCATGAAGAGGTTTTAGTTCAGGAAATTACTTATGTTGCTTAAATACACATAGGCAGATGCTCAAATTTACTATGTCATTTTGCATAGGTGAATTAACGAGATGCTATACTGCTAGTCACATTTAAAATTGCATAGAGACAACGTGATTTTTAAGTATTAGGAACAAACTAACTGTTAACCTTTTTGTTACTTCATATTTTAATGTGAATGAATCAGACGCAGTGTCTCAAAGCTATAAAAATGCAAAAAACAAAAGCAGAACAGGCTGGTCAACAGGTTTCTATTTTAGTTTATTTGGATTAACAAGAGTTAATTAACATTAATTCAGGTCAAAACTGTAATGAATTAGATAAATTAATTGTTGCTATATATCTGAAAGTTGTACTGTCTATCTGCGTGGCCTTTAGATGATGTCTAATCTAGCATTTACCCTTTTCAAGATGAGCCAACAAGTTTTTGTGCTCCTTGACCCAGCCTGCAACCCACTTTGATCAGATTCCATCCCTGAAACAAGCCACAATTAAAATTCATGGAGAATTTAAGTCCTGTGCAAGCTCTACTTGAGGATTTGTACTATGCATAATTTCTGTTCTTCAATAATTCATCCTCAATGGAAGTACAACATGAGGATTTGTATTTCATGCACAATTAAATAAATACACGTAACGAATGTTTTAGGGAAAATTTGCTTGTAACGTTTAAAACTCAGTGATACTTCTCTTCATTTTTAAAGTACAAGCAACGCTTTATTATACATGAGGATGGCCACAGGGAGTCCGAATAGTATCTTTTCCCTGACGCTGGTCAGTAGCAGAGCTACAGGGAAAAGTTTAAGAACACATTCTCTCCACTTTTAGCATTATGCAGCTCAGGGAATTTCTGATATCTGTATGTTTGACATTATCTAATTTCTGGTTAGTTTATAAACCTTGGCTAAGGCATGAAAATACTGTATTATAGCTTATGAAATAATAAAAGTGCTTTGAACAGATACAGATCTTGCTGAAATAGTATGCTAAGAAAGGGCAGGAGAAGGTAGCTTTCCACTCTGGCCATAATGATACACTCTAGAAAACACCATTGAATTAACGGTATTTATTGATAGGTCTCATGTCACCCTGATACAAATTGGGGTACATCTTTTTTTTTGTGCCTTTGATTCCTACATTTTCCATCACTGTTTATCTCCTCCCCCGTCCTTCCATTTTTCTTTACTTTCTTGCTGTTTGCTTCTCTTTGTTGATTTCCAAACTTTCATCTGAGCTGGCAGAGCAGAAGTTAAGTGGGAAGCATTTAATTAGAAGAGAGAAGAAAGGGCAACAGCATTCATTCGCTCGTGCTCAGAAAGGCATCTATTTCTGTAGATGAAAACTTTGAAAAACAACAAAAATCATTACATATCTCTCTTTGCTCTTGATCAAGTATTTTGAGAATAATTTTTCAGCCCTGAAAATTATATAATGATCTTAAGGTAGGACTACTTTACATTGGTATGGTTTGGTCGTATACAGATTTCAAAATAATGCTTATTGTTAGCCATGTTAATTAAGATACTTAGTTTCTCAGCCCAATGACTGCATATTCCTCCTCCACAATGTGCTGAAGTTTTAATTATCCCTCTGATTCTGCTCAGCTTTAACTGGCAAGCATTCATTTGAATTTTTCCAGTGCAGCCTCTCCTATGTGGAAAGTCTCTTTACAAGTTCTCTATATTTTCACAACTCATGGCACACCCTTGCAAAGGAAGAATTTGACTAAGATTGATCAACTTACTACTTCATTAAGCTCTAAAGTTAGTTGCAAAGACAACCTGCCTACTATATTGCAACTAATCAGATTCTCTGTGTAAGGGATATGAAAAATATCCATATCTAACCCATATAATGAAGCCATCACTTCTAGCAAGGGCAAAGTAGTGTTAATTTAACCTTAGTAGTCTGGATAATGATGTCAGTAAGTGCCAGTAAATATTACAGAATTATAGAATTGTTTAGATTGGAAAAGACATTTAAGATCATCGAGTCCAACTGTAAACGTAACACTGCCAAGTCCACCACTAAACCATGTCCCTAAGTGCCACATCTACACGTCTTTTAAATACCTCCAGGGATGGTGACTCAACCACTCCCCTGGGCAGCCTGTCCAGTGCTGGACACCCCTTTCAGTGAAGAAATTTTTCCTAATAGCCAATCTAAACCTCCCCTGGCACAACCTGAGGCCATTTCCTCTCGCCCTGCCGCTTGTCACTTGGGAGAAGAGACCAACACTCACCTCGCTACAACCTCCTTTCAGGTAGTTGTAGAGCGCGATGAGGTCCCCCCTCAGCCTCCTCTCCTCCAGGCTAAACAGCCCCAGTTCCCTCAGCCGCTCCTCAAAAGGCTTGTGCTCTAAGACCCTTCACCAGTTCGTTGCCCTTCTCTGGACACGCTCCA